CAGTACAGGAGGGTGGTATTTCCCTTTGAAGACTCCTTATAACTTGAGAGCAAAAGGAGTCCTTTTCTTTAAGGCAAGCTGTCCAGTGACTTAAATACTTCTATTGAAGTTCTACTCTAAGGGTTATTTTCTTTAGAAAATGTACTTGTCGGGGCCAAGCAGAGGGCTTTTTCAGTGGTGGGTCCCAGCTTCTCCAATACTCTTGTTAAGACAATGTGCCAAACACGTCTATAGTAGCTTTTAGACACCATATGAAACCATTTTTACTTAAACATTTTAAAATTGCTGTTTCTCAACGTTGGGCTTGATTCTGAAGCTTTTTGATAGACATGGCTTATTACATGTTGTGATTTTTTTGGAGAAGTCTTACTGGACAAATGATAGATAAAAATAATGTATATAATAATTCAACAATATCCCGAAAGAAACACCTCTTCCTGCGTTTCTGTGGGCAACTTCAAAGTGTATCAAGGCTCCCAGATAGGCTTAGTTTAAAATTATTGGATGTTATGGCTCAAGATCTGCAGATGAGTTTGAGATTTCTCTTCTGCCTTGGTAGTAGGCCTTTACAGCATCCTCAGAGGAGAAGGTAAGAGGGGGCCAGACTGTCAAAAGCAGCATAACAATGTCACAATGCAAGTCCACACAGGTCCCCAAAGGGTGGAGTGCAACTAATGCCACAATCCTGCTTTCAATCTTTTGCTGAAACCAACAGGATCCTGCAGACATAGCTGGTAGTCTCTAGATTCTGGACTGCAAGTCTAGGCAACCAGTTCGTTTGATTTGCTTACAAAATGGCAATTCCTTTTGAAGACCCCAGTAGCAAACTATTTGGGGGTGGAGGGAGGTGTTGCTTTTTATAGGGAGCAATGCTTTGGAACCAGAAGGAAAGAGGTTAAATGCCACTGAGAAGCATGGGGTAATGAGCTGGCAAAGACTCCAGTGAGCTAGAGCAGGAAGTTGCATCACTCACAGCTGTCAGCTGGTGAAGGAATCAATGGGACTGCAGGATGTATATGAGATGAGTGGAAGGAAAGAAGAAGGTATACACAAAACATTTCCGAAATGGTAATCTTTAGGCCTTCCTATACATATTTCCCTTGTATAGAAGAGAGAGAGACAGAGACAGAGACAGAGATCTCAATTCAGAGCTGAAGAAGCTTTTTGGATGAGAAGCAAAATGTCTTTAAAGAAAAACCAGAAAGTCCAGTTGCCTCTTGGAAAAGCACGTTTGGGTCCACAATTCAAAGTAGGGTATTACACTCCACCTCTCCATCTATGTTCTGTTCTAAAATGGAGGAGGCTGCATTTGTTAGATTCTTGCTAACTTGTTCTTGCCTCTTCTATAAGAAGAATACCAGATGCTCAAAGCCACAGCATGGTTTCTTTTTGAATTAAAAAAGTATACAGCAGGGCTCCTACAATCATTTATAGCATAAACCCACATGCTAAACCATGAACTAGGATTTCTGCAATATATCAAGCCATAAACTAGCTGAACATGGCTTGGTTGCTTGTTTAATTACTTAAAGAACCTCTCTGGCCACCTTCTCACTAAGCAACTCTGGAATAGCTAACAAGGTATATAAACCTCCAAAGAAGAAAATCAATATAGTAATAAAATAAGATGAGATAAGACATATTGCCGGCATCTTGAATAAACCCACCCAAAATCTCATGACTTTTTAAAAATTCATGGCCCAGCATGACATGAGGCTGCTTCAACAGAAATACTGGTATGTTTCATTTGGTTGGAAGAGATGAAGTTTTTCTCACTGAAAGCAATAGCTGTGCATCTTAGTCCAAGAATCTCATAATGGGATGCAATAGTTTACAGGTTTTATAGAACCCCTTTGGAAATTTTAATGTAGAAAACAAATACCATTGTACCAATTGCTACAGTGTGGGAAGAAGTGGTTGTGAAGAGCAGTGGGAAGAAGGCTGTCTGTCTGTCTACCAATCACATTTAGGGACTGTCACAAACCTGAGGAACTTTTAATACTTCATAAGATAAAACAAGAGAAACAATACATAAAAAGCTACCTTCATGGGAAAATGCTATTAGATTTGTAAACAAAAAAAGGAGGAAACTTGGTAGCAGCCATTCTAAGTAATAAATCTACTTTGAAGCTATTTTGTGAGCTTTGGGTAACTTTTTTGGATGTGTAAAATCTGTGAATTGGACAAGATGTAACCGAACTCCTTCCAATTCCAATGTATCTCTGTTCCTTTGATGTCTACAATAACTGCAAGGAGTATACATCTTTCCATCGCCCCTGCCCCCCTCCCCACACCATTTAGTCAAAACTGAGGAAGCTTCTTGGTTGAGAAGCAAAATGTCTTCAAGGAAAATAGAAAGAAAATCCAGTTACCTTTCAGAAAAGTACCTTTGGGATAACCATGACTTGGAATAACTAAGAATCTCAATAAACATTTACATATCTTCAAGGAGTGGAGAGAGTACCGATGTCAGCCTTGGAAGCCATATTTTAGTTAGAAGCTTCGAGGCTGCCACAATTAGTGCCTGGGAATTTGGGAGGGGGGATTTCGTAAAGAGGTGGAAGATTAGACACAACAACATTCTTCTCATTGAGTCAAGGACAATTTACCTTGCATCTGGAGAGGATGGTGGTGGATTGGACCATGTGATGGACTGGTGGGGGCAGGGGATGGGCTTTTGATTTTCAGTTAGGAAGGGAAAACCCGGAACTCCCAGATTCGGGTTTTCCCAGATGTGCCAATATGACTTCTTCGATAAATTTTTTACTTGGATGAACTTTGTTTCTGAGAGCTGAATGAAATGGGGAGCTTCATTGGAATGCTGACAACCAAGCCCTGTGGCACACCACAGAGGAGCAGCTATGGGCTGGCCCTCTCACTTCCTATTGACATTGATTGGGACTGGCTTGGTGAAAGGAGCCAAAACTGGACTGTCTCAAGCCCAGTCCTGCAGCCAGCCCAAAAGGGTACCATGATGGATGATATCAAAGGCTGCTGAGAGATCAAGGAGATAGAGGATGGGGACATGACCCCCACCCCACTCTCGCCAGAGATTATCAGCAAATGCAATCAATGCTATTTCTGTCCCATAACCTGATTGAAAGGGATCCACTTAGTAAGCTCTTTACATAATGACCGATTGCTGGTCACAACTGTGATGATTAAATGAAGATTATCTGTATTGTGGAATATAGTATATGCAGTCATCATTTCCTTGGAGGTTATGCACTGGAGTGTTAATAGTCCATTTCAGATTTCAGTGCTATCTATCCTGCATAGGCACATTGAAAGGAAGATCAGCTTGGTTCTCATTATATGTGCCTTCACTGACTTTTCTGCATTATGTTCATGGTATGGTTGCAGAAGTGATATTCAGCAGGTTCTTACCAGTTCTGGAGAACTGGTAGCAGAAATTTTGAGTAGTTCAGAGAACCAGCAAATAACACCTATGATTAGAGATTTTACAGTAACCTTCTCATGCCACACCCCCAAGCTACACTCACAGACCCAGTAGTAAAAAAATTTGAATCCCGCCACTGTATGCTGATGCATTTCTCTGTGAGAGGAGGCAAAGCCTGCATCTGTGGAGTTGCCCTTCCCCCCATTACATACTTTGCTGGAATCATGAACATCTGGAATGATGTTCTGAAATATTGCAGATATATGAATCATTAGAAGGATACAGGTATCTAGGTATTATAATCAATCAAGTCTGTAATGAGGTAGCTGCAGTGGTGGGATTCAAATAATATAACAACTGGTTCTCTGCCCTAATGATTTCTTCCAACAACCAGTTCACCAAACTGCTCAGAAACTTAACCGGTTCTCCCAAAGTGGTGTAAATTGACTGAATCCCATCACTGGGTAGTTGCCTCTTTAGTAAATACTCTTTTTATAAGAGGGAGATACATTTTTTTGCTCCTCAAAATGCCTTACCTCCATATAGTACATAGAACTGTCTAAATTTAGTGTATTTCATCTGTGTTGCAATTTATACATTACCCTTAGATCAAAGCATCTCTTGTGAACTGTCCATTTAGAAAAAAAATATGAACTACTAAAGGACATTTCCCATCTGGAATAACTTTTGACAAAATTATGATAAATCTGTTCACTGTAGCCAAACTGTAAATTTACAGCATCATAATAGAGAAGTGACTTTCCACTGATAATAAATTTAACAGTGGTATATACAAAGGAAATAGTATTCTAGCTATGTAATGACTGATGGAACTTCGCTCGTAACATGAAGTTTACGGAAGTAGTGTAATTTAGAGACAGATAATAAATTGAATAAATATAAGAGAGATATTAATTCGGAATTTGTCTAGAGTCTGAAATATAATTATTTTGCAAAGATATCCATTTATATGATTGATTGATTGATTGATTGATTATATGTCATCAAGTCATTTATGACACCTAACAATCTGTTTTTCTCCATGGCAATCTGTCTCTAATCTGATCTTTCAGACCTTTGAATGGAGCCTATTACCACTGTAATTGAGTCTATCTACCATCCTGCTACAATCCTCTTCTTCCCTTTCCTTTCATTTTTCCCAGCATTATAACCTTTTCAAGAGACCAAGATCTTCGCATTGTGTCCAAAATAGGCTAATTTGAATCTGATCATTTATGCATCAAGAGAATGCTGGATTGATTTGTTCAATGGTCCATCAGTTCATTTTCTTGGTTGTCCTTGGTATTCTTGGGATCCTTCTCCAAAACATCTATTTATGTGCCATTCTTTAAATTGCACAATCAGTCAAGCAGTGCCCTAGATCATCTTAATAATTTGATTCTTTTTACTGTTGTAAAACTCACATTGGGCTTTATACTTTATGCTTCTTCTTTTTTTGCACTTTATTATCTGTGGATTGTCATTGATACGAAGAATGAAACCAAGAATCTGCAACTGTTTTTCATGAGTCATTGTGTGAAGAGCTTTTGATTGTGTGGCAAAAACATCTGGATTTAACTTGTGACTCAATTGCTTGCAGGTTACTTTCCTCTATTTTTGGAATCCCGGCCATTCTTACAACCATGGAGAGTATGGCGGTGCTTGACTCTGTGGGTGTAGGAGACCTGGTGCTGTTGGAGCCACTGACTGAAGACACATTGATGCAGAACTTGAAGAAACGCTTTGAACATCAAGAAATCTATGTAAGTGGAGATGGGAGGGATACAGAGAACAACTGATCTGGGAGCCTTTTCACTTTAGGTCAAAAAGATTAGAGCCTGCAAAGATCTACTATGATGCACGTGATCAGAGCAACTACTTTCACTGTCACAACCACCATTACTATGCTAAAAAGGAAAAGGAAAAACACAAAGAGCCAAGCGGTTTTCCTAAACGTTTTCAGGGGCTGATTATTAGGCTTTGCTGAAGAATGAAAGAAAATGCTATAAAAGGAAAGCAGGGCATCTCAACGGGAAGAGGATCCATGTATCTTCTGTTCCTTATTGTGGATGGACAACTTCCACCAATTAAACCCTCAGATAGGGGACACCTTCCATTTGGAGAGCAGCCACCTCTCGGAATTGAAATGAATCACTACACTACTTTTACTATTACTACTACTACTACTAACTACTACTACTACTACTACTGTTGGTCACACAGTCAGCCAGACTGGTTATGGGATTTTCATTTACCTAGTAAGTGCTTCCCAAGACTTGAGATAGGCAGATATATACATTTTTTAAATAAATTTTTATTGGTTTTTAAAACAAACATAAACAAACAAAACATAAAAACATCAGGCCATCTTCCATATATGTACATACAGTGTGCCAGTTGGTTTACAAATTGTTTTGTGCTTCCATTTTGTAGTCTTCAATTACAGTTACATTGTATATGATCTCGTATTTTCAATCCAATATTAAATATATTGGTATCATTATTAATCAATCATTTGGCTATACTTTTATTCATTCATGCTTTAGGAAATAATCATATTTTACTTAATTTGTTTTGTGACAATTCATATTATCATCCCAAATCTATCCTAAAATCATTTTGTAGATATAATAAGAAAAGAATACATCTTTATATATTTAGTATTTTCTAAAAGTCTACGTATTTCGTTACTATACTTTATTGTCTAACCATTGATAGAATAGATCCCAAACTTTATAAAATTGTTTATCATCCTGTTCTCTAATTTCAAATGTCAATCTGCTCATTTCAGCACATTCCAATATTTTCTTAATAATTTCCTCCTGTGATGGAATTTTCTCATTTTTCCAGTTTTTTTAGCAAATACAATCCTAGCTGCTGTTAATACATTTACAATCAGGTATTTCAAATCTTTACTATATATTTCAGGTAAAATTCCCAATAAAAAAATCTCTGGTTTCAAATCTATATGTTTTTTTGTCATTTTCTCCAACCACATGTGGATTTTAGTCCAGTATTTTTTAGCATCTGCACAAGTCCACCACATATGGTAATATGAGCCAGGTATCTGATAACATTTCCAACATTTTTCAGATTTATTCTTGAACATTCTTGGTATTCTTGTCGGAGGGAAATGCCATCTGTAAAACATCTTATACAATTTTATTTTATATGCTGTTGACATTGTCATTTTATAATTTTGAGACCACAATTTTTGCAATTTCCCTAAATCAATCCCATATCCAAAATTCTTCCCCCAAGCAATCATTGTTTCTTTAACTTGTTCTTCTTCTAATTTAATTTCTAATACATATCCATACAATTTTTTAATCACCTTTTCATCAGTACCTGTCAAAATCTTATCTAAATCAGTCAGTTTATCATAGAAACCTTCTGTTTTAGAATCTTTATCATACCTTGAATGTATTTGCGCATATGAAAACCAATTCATCTTTATACTTTGTTCCTCTAGTTTTTGTATAGATTTAAGTTCACCCTTTGTCTTGATAGCATATTCTTTGTCAAGATCATTGTCTTATCCTTATTTATTTTCAAACCAGCCACCTTTCCATATGTCTCTATTTTTTCTATCAATTTTGATGCTGTTTCTAGTGGGTCTTCTAAAATAAAAACCAGATCATCTGCAAATGCTTGCAACTTAAATTCTTCCTTTTTAATTTTCATCCCTTTTATATTCTTTTCATCTCTAATATTTCTATTTAGCACTTCCAAAGTTAACACAAACAACAGAGGTGATAGTGGGCACCCTTGTCTTGCTCCTTTTCTTATATCAATAGAGTCTGTCAGTTCTCCCTCTATCATTACCTTTGCCGTTTGCTTATGATATATAGCTTCTATTGCTTGAATAAATTTTCTAGCAAAGCCCATCTGTTCCGGCAATAACAACATGAATTACCAATTCACATTATCAAATGCCTTCTGTGCATCTAGAAATATCAAAACCATTTGTTTTTCAGGATGTGACTCGTAGTATTCCAAGGTGTCCAAGATTACTCTCATATTGTCTTTAATTTGTCTCTTTGGCAGAAATCCATTTTGATCAGGATGGATAAAATTATTTAAGTATTTTTTAAGTTTTTCTGCCAATATTGAAGCAAAAAAATTATAATCTGCGTTTAGTAGGGAAATGGGTCTATAGTTATTAATTTGTAATGGGTTGGCCTCCTCCTTTGGAATAAGTGTAATATAAGCTTCTGACCATGTTTTAGGTATCTTCTTCTTTAACATAACTTCATTCATAACTTCTAGCAATGGAAGATTCAACGATTCTTGTAATGTTTTGTGAAATTCTGCCGGAAGTCCATCTGGGCCTGGTGCCTTTCCATTATTTTGCTTCTTGAGTCCTTCAGTTAACTCCATCATTGTTATATTGCTTTCTAACATTGTTTCAATCTCTTTAGATATCTGGGGTAACTTAGCATTCTGTAGGTACTGTTTGACTCTTTCCTCACAATATTCTCTTGTGTGTATAATTTCCCATAATAGTCTCGAATGATTTCCTTCTTCTCTTTACTACCATAGCAAACTTGGCCTTGATCATCTATTAATTGCAATATTTTCCTTGATTCTTTCTCCTTTTTCAATTTATATGTTAACCATCTACCTGGTTTGTTTGCATCTTCAAAGTAATTCTGTTTAGCACCTCTAATTTTCTGTGCTAATTCTTCTTTCTATTTGACCCATTTTGTGTTTGGTTATATCAATTTTTAACTTAATGTCCTTTTTCTGTGGCATTTTCTGTAACTCTTTTTCAAGTCCTTTATACTCATCTTCTAATGCCTTAGAGGCTAATCTTTTCATGGTATTTCTTTTCCTTGTATAGTCTATTATCAAGCCTCTGGCATATGCCTTCATTGTATCCCATACATTCTGGATTGATGTATCTTCTTTTTTGTTTTCTTTAAAGAAAAAAGGCAGTTCTTTCTCCATCCACTGTGTAAAGTCTTTTTCCTTTAAAATAGTATTATTTAGCGTCCATCTAGATCTTCTTCTTTGTCCTTTCTTTTAATTGTCATTGGATTGTGATCTGCCCAAGTACTTGTTTCAATATTTATTTCTTGAATATTAGTTAACAATTCTGTTAACATCCATATCATATCTATTCTGGACCATGATAAGCGTCTACTTGAGTAGAAGGTGTTTTGTTTAGTTTTAGCATTTCTTTCTCTCCATGTATCTTTTAAGTTTATTTCATCTACCATATTAAAAAAAGATTTAGGGAGAGTCTTTCTGTTTTGCTTTATTGTTTTCTGTGCTGTATAGTCCAGTTTGTTGTCTACAATTCCATTAAAATCTCCCATCATAAGTATATTAGCATAGTCCAGTTCAATTATTTTGATATGTAATTTTTTATAAAATTCTTGTTTGTCATTCGGGGCATAGATTGCAATCAGGAGTGTTCTTATATTAGTATCCATTATTTCCACCGTTAGTATTCTTCTGTCGTCATCAGTATAAATCAATTTTGCTGGAATGGTCTCTTTAATATATAAAACCACTCCTCTTTTCTTGCATTGTGTCAAGGAGGTAAATATTTTCCCTAGTTTTGGCTGTATCAACAATTGTTCATATTGCTTTTTAATATATACTTCTTGTAGGCAGATTATATCAAATTTTAATTTCTCTAATTTATGGAAAGTTTTCCTTCTTTTAATGCCTGAATTAAGTCCATTTATATTAATTGTAATCAATTTTTTCTCTTCCATGGTTATATTTTATAATTAGGTTTGGCAGCTCTCATGGATCTTGGTTCACGTTGTCCTTTGGCTTCCTCCTTTCCACCTACTGCACCTTCCTCTTTTTCAGCCATCATTTGGCAGTCCTCTTGGAATTCAATTAGTGAAATTTCTTTTTCTGCCTCTTCCTCTTTCCCTCTGAAAAATTCTGTATAAAATTATTCAGCTTTCTCAATTGAATCAATTCTGTATCTCTGTTCTTGCCATGTGAACATTAAACCTTCTGGAATCAGCCATCTATAATTCACCTCTTTTTTAAGTAGCAATTTGGTCAAGAATCGGTATTCTCTTCTCATCTCTCTCACTCTTCTGGGTACTTGTTTCAAAACCACAATCTCCTTATCTTTATATTTCAATGTTTTCTCTCTTGCCACTTGCAATATTTGCGTTTTAATGGCTTTCTTTGTAAATCTGATGTGAACTTCTCTTGGTAGGCTATTTCTCATTGCGTATCTTGTGAAGACTCGATAAACCTCATCTATTCCATCCATCATCTTCTCTTCAGTTATTTCCAAAGCTTCAGTCAATATTTCTATCATTATCTCGGCTAAATTTTTGTCCTTTTTCTTCCTCTATGTTTTGGAATCTGAGATAAAATTCTGATCTGTCCATCTCACATCTCAGCATACCACTTTTATCTTGTTCAACCACAGTTAATTTGGTATCAATGTCTCCAATCTTCTTATCTCTTTGTTTATCTTCTTCTTCAATTTTTAGTAGTCTCTCATCATACTTCATCATCATTTGTTGGATGTTCTTGACTTTTTCATCGGTTTTCCCTGTTCTTTGTTCAATGTTCTCTGTTCTTTGTTCGATGTTCTCTATTCTCTTTTCAATATTCTCTGATCTTGTTTGAATGTTTTGAATTCCTTGCATAATCATCTGCAGGGTCACTTTTTCTTTTTCTTGTTCTTTCTCTTGCCTTAACATTGTCTGTATTGAACGTTGTCCTCCAAATGGTGGAGAGGAGGAAGTAGAAGTTGAAGAACCAGTAGCTGTTAATTTCCTACTCATTTCAAACAATTCAAAATCTTCAGTTTCTTCTAGACCTTAATCCAATTGTGAAGTAACCAACTGCGATTCCAAATAAAAAGAGTAGGGAAAAAGAAGCCAAATAGTAATAATAATAAAAAACGAAAAAAGAATTTCTTCAGGTTCTTGTATACCTTAATCCAATCGATTAGTTAGATAACAATGAAAATTCAAAAATGAAGGAAAAAACCATAAACATACACAAAGGAGAAAAAGTTGTAAAATCCTAAAAAAGACAGAAAAGTGAAGAATAAAAAGCTTTAAAAAAGGAAAAATTCTTCAGGTTCTTCAACACCCTAATCCAATTAAGAGGTCTCAAATATAAAAGACTGCATAAGAGAAAAAGAAAAAAAAGCCAGGAAGATAAAAAGAAAGAAAAAAACAGTATTGGAGGTAGATGGGAAAACAAAAATACCAGAAAGTCAAAAAGAGAAAAAGAAAAAAAGGCTACTCCCTTAAAAAGAAAAGGCAGGGAGTCATTAATACTAAAACTTTTCTTTTAAAATAAAAAACAAATGTAAAAAATTAACTTCCAAAGACAAGCATAAAGGAAAAAAAAAAGCAAAGACAAGTTCCAAAGAACTACAAGTCCAAATAGCTATTTCAAAAAGTAAACTGTTGAGGAGGGGTAGCACAGCTTAGGAAAAATCAAGAAAACACACTGCACTTTGTTTAGTTATCCAAGGCTCTTGTTATAACACTCTTCTCCAGAAACTTGTCACCTTTTCTTTTCCCATAAACTTCAACACCAGACTCCAACTGTTGATAGAAAACCAGAAAAGCACCTGCAATAATACACTCCCATGCTCTTCCCTCTATCTAATCAAATAGCAACGTCCTTGAAAAAAAGTCTCAGTTCTTTCTTTCTCAGCTTTGTCTGGTCACAAGAGAAATAGAATATTTCCAAGCCTCTAGTTGGCGGTGTTACAAAGTTTCTTTACTTTCACTCTCCCACTCCTTTTCCAAGCAAAATACAATAAGAATTAATAAAAAGAAAGAAAAAGATATTTTAAAAAAAGAAATAACTAAAAGGGAGTCTCTAGCCTAAAATGGTTACAAAATCAAAAAGGAGGGGAAAAAATAGATGGAAAAGAAAAACCAGTCCAGTTTCAAAATATAAGATCATGTATAAAAAATCCAGCAATGAGAAAAAACCATTACTTTGACATTTCTGTTTAAAATTGCCGCTTAATCACTTCTGTCAAAACTTTTACAGACTCATAGTCAGCAGAGAATAACTAATAGCAATGCAAACATTAATGGAAACATTCAAGTTAACTTGCTTGTACCTCCTAAGTACTAATAATTTGTTCCTTGTATCATTGCCATTTATTTATACAGAGTGCACAAATATTTAATAAAGGATTTGAGATAAAAAGATCCCAGCTCATAGAAGATTATTCTTTTAAAAAAAAAATCCATTACACATCCAGATTTAACTGAGCCTAATTGCCTTCTCATTCATGGCAGGTGGCAGCACCTTGCCAAGCTTTGTTGATCTCAAAAAAAAATAAAAACAAAAATGGGAGGAAAATCTCCACAACAGTAAGAGAGCAATAGAGTGAGATCTGGCTTGGACTCGGATAGGAGACAATGTTGTTGGAATACAATGTCCATTGATGGGTACCACAAGAATTTATTCTTCTAGAATCACCACATATCAGACAAGATGGAGCAGAGGGAAGATGGGGAAGTGGAGGAGCTGTGGGAAAAGGCAGCAAGGGAAAGGCCAGTTAAGCAGGGCAGATAGATGTCAAGGCTCCCAAACCAAGAAAGATATGATGAATTTCATATTGTTCCTCAGCTATTGACAGAACTAAAGCAAACTACCTGCATCATTATAAACATTCTCTGAGAACTTTTAGGAGGACTTGATCCTTTTTCTCCCAACCAAGTTATCTAAACTTTGCTGCCTCTTCTTTCTCTGGAATGCAGCCCCTCCCACCCCAGACTCCAGACTCCCTTCCATCACAACAGGGTCCCACTTCACCAGATTCCTCCTATTTAGTACAGGTAGTCCTTGACTTACGACCACAATTAAGCCCCAAATTTCAGTTGCTAAGTGAAGTAGTTGTTTTCTGACTTTTGTCCCATTTTACGACATTTCTTATCACAATTATGAAATGAATCACTGCAGTTGTCAAGTTAATCACACAGTTGTTAAGTGAATCCATCTTCTGCATTGACTTTGCTTCTCAGAGGGTCGCCAAAGGTGATCACATGGCTCAAGGACATTGCAATCATCATAAATGTGAACCACTTGCCAAGCATCTGAATTTTGATTGCATGACCATGGGGATGCTGTGAAAACCGGTCATAAGTCACTTTCTTCAGTATTGTTTGTAACTTCAAATGGTCACTAAACAAAAGGTTGTAAGTTGAGGACTACCTATAGCTGCTTTATAGCAAGAGGCAGAGCCCAATTTCTCCTACTAGTTCTACAAAGCTTGGATAATGTGACATGACACAGCTAAAATTAGAAAGATCAATGGAATTTATTAAATCTACCAGGATCCATGTTTTAGGAGACTTGCAGTGAGTCAATCTTCTTTACTAAAATTAGCAGGACTGGACCATGATATTTTATTGCCAAATCCTAAACCTTAGAAGAGCTCTTCTCTTGGTCCATATACAAAACTGTCTGGTTTGGCAGATTGCTCATTCCTGGTGCCTTTTTTGGCAGTGGTCGCTGAGCAGCTGCCTTGCTCAGTGAATGGGACCAGTCTGTTTGCCTGCTGTGTAGAAAAAACTGGTGAAGAAGATCATAGCAACGAGGTTTCTTTGCTTCCTGGTTCTTCCCAGTCTTCCTGAACCAGAGTAGGAATAGGATTAGAAGCAAATAGCAATGGTGAACCAAAGGGACAGATGTCTGTGGAGATTCTCAGTCATCCAGGTCATGGTTGTCCCAAAGGTGCTTTTTCAAGAGGCAACTGGATTTTCCGGTTTTTCTTTGAAGACGTTTTGCTTCTCATCCAAGAAGCTTATTCAGAGCTGAAGAAGCTTCTTGGATGAGAAGCGAAACATCTTCAACGAAAAAACAGACAGTCCAGTTGCCTCTTGAAAAAGCCCTTTTGGGACAAAGGGACAGATACAACCTTTGACACTTTCACCTACTACAGCCTGAGCACTGCCATCTTACTAATGAGAACAACCTATTTCTGCCTCACAGACCTACATTGGGAATGTGGTGATCTCCCTGAACCCATATCAGCCATTGCCCATTTACTCAGCAAAAACGGTGGAAGAATATAAGAACTGCAACTTCTTTGCTGTCAAACCTCACATGTAAGTGAGAAGGGAACTGAGTGGGAATTATCACACCCAACAACTCTCAGGAATGGATGCCAGGGGATGAGAAGGAGAAGGCAGATCCTGGGGGAATCCAAAGCAACAGCCCTCCTCATTCTTCTCCCTGTGTTTGCCCAGTTATGCCATTGCTGATGATGCTTACCACTCATTGAAGAATCAAGACAAAGATCAATGCATCCTTATCACTGGTGAGAGCGGGGCCGGCAAAACAGGTGAGTAAGGATTTCTGGGTTCCTCAAGAAGGGCATAGAGAAAAGAAAGCATTGGCAAGAGGCAACTCCTAGCCAAGCTTGGCGGAACTTGGAAGGGGCAGGAGAAAACCAGGGGTGGGGTCAGTCATGCATTGAGTTGATCACTGCAGGGACAGCTGGGGGATGCGACTGAAGACACCAAAAGACCTGGGAAAGTCTTCAAAGCAAGAGGATTCATTGCACAATCCTCTTATCCCATCCTCAAACTTTGGGGAGGGGGGGATGTTTTGATAACTTTGCCTAAACATTTGTAATTCTGCTTTTTCTGTCCTTTTCCTTTTTCTTGCTAGTGTTAGGAGCTGTGTATTTGAAGCATTCGGAGATGAGCAGAGATCAATACATTTTTCAACCATCATCCAAATAGCATGGGAGCAGACCACTCTTGAAGGGCTCTCTTTAAATAAATGCATTTTAATAGTAGCTTTCACAAATCAATTGAGCAGAATATAGAAGCAGGAGGGGGAACGCAGGGGCAAAGTGGTTTATTAGAATTACTTTAGTGGCACTGACAGATGTCCACAAATTTAAGCCATTTAAGCAAACTTCCACAGCCTGTGTTGTATGGGGGCAGAGCACCCGTCATCACTAGTCAGCAAATCCTACTTGCTATATTCCTTGGGATGATAGAAGTAGCTTTGCAACCAATTTGAGACTACCAGGTTGGAGAGAGTTTCTCTAGCAATTCTTACTGCTTCGGTGGCAAGTTACATGCAAATCATTCCTCCACGCGGAATATATTCCTAATTCACATGCAGTGCTATAATAGATGTGCCCTCTCTCCTTCCTAAATAACCAGATTGAAGTTTAAAATGCATTCTATAATCACAAGGAGGAATTTCCTCATGATTTAAGAGGGCTTAAGGAGTGGCACAGCCTGCCTCAAACTGTGGATCTCTTTGCAGAGAAACAGAAAGGGTTCTCTGGGCCTGGATAGCAACCTACATTCAGGTTTGTTTAGCAGTGGATTCCTATTGAGGATTTTTCCTGAGTAAGGAACAGGACAGGATGACATATAGCAATGGCACTTAGACTTATAGACCACTTCATAGTGCTTTACAGCCCTCTCTAGGCAGTTTACAGAGTCAGCCTATTGCCCCCAACAATCTTGAGTCATTTTACCCACCTCGGAAGGATGGAAGGCTGAGTCAACTTTGAGCCTGGTGAGATTCGATCTGCCAAATTGAAGGCAGCTGGCTGCAGCAGAAGTAGCTTGCAGTATTGCACTCTAACCACTGAGCCACCGAGGCTCTCTATATGCCCTTTCTCCTCTTTTTTGACCTTTCCAGACAATCATGGTGACTATCTGGATGAATCCCTGAACTGTTTTTTGGCAGTGACATGTCCTTGCTTCCTTTTCGGGGCTGAGAGAGAGAGAGAGAGAGAGAGAGAGAGAGACTGGCCCATGGGGATTTAGCTGGCCTTATGCCTAGGAAAGGACTAGATCTCATTGCCTTCTGATTTCTAGCCTTATGTCCTACCCACCTCATCAAAACTGAGTCTTTTTAAATATCCCTACCAAATCATATATTCTCTCACTGATTCTATGCTGCTCGCATTTTTTTTCTTCATTAGAGGCCAGCAAGTTAGTAATGTCCTATGTGGCAGCTGTATGTGGGAAAGGGGAGGAAGTGAATCGTGTCAAGGAACAGCTGCTACAGTCCAATCCTGTCCTGGAAGGTATGTACTTGCAGCCTTTGTAAGGGGTGAGAAAGGGAGGGATCAATTCTATAGGAACTGATCAGTATTTATAGGCATTCACTGGGCCACTGCCTATTATCACATTTTCCCCATAATGCAAAAACACAGTATTTTACGGCTGAGAAAGTGCAGATTTCCCAGTGGAGCACCAACACTGCATTTGCAGTGGTTATAAGAAGGAGCTGATAAAGTTTTTCTTCACAGCTGAGTCAAAGACCTGTTCTCCTGCTCTTGAATTGACAAATATATATATACCGGTACTGTATAAAATTTGCTGCCCATAATGGCAATCCCTAACTTACCACTGGCATGATTGATAAGGCAAAGCCCCTTAAGTGGGGAATGACAGTGCATCTGTGGTGCACCAAAACAAACTGTAACACATATAGTTCAATAATATGGAAATTTAAGGGTACCTGGGATGATCTCACTGCAGCTGTACTAGAAGCAGTTAGATGGTTAGCTTCTTTGGATATTGAATTATAACATCTGTCCCGTTGCAATTCTATGACTCCATCTTCTGATGATTTTACGATTGTTTTATCTTAATTCAATATATATTATTTCCCATATTGTCCAATATCTATATCTTCATATTTGCTGACATTTTATTTAAACTAAATTTGTATATCAGTGATTGCATGACCTCTATAGATGCCATATGCTAATTAAATGAATTTAATTTAAAGGATAATGGGATTAATAGAGCTTGGGCACTGGTAGGTTCCTTGCTCTGTTTAGCTTCTGCTCCTGCCAAGCATTGCCAGTCAGTGAGAAAACATCAAATAAACATGCTACTTGGGACATGGGGGAGGAAATGCGTTTATTTATTTATAATTTCAATTTCTAAAGTGCTCACTCATAGAAAGCTCTGGGCTAACAAGGATCAAACCCAAGTTTAAAAGACGTTCCTTCACTTTTTCTTTTTTCTTTTTGCAATCCTGGGAGCACTGGGATATTTATATAGTTCCTTTACAATAAGAAAAGCTGAAAGACCCTCCCTCCCTCTCCTTCTGGAATGGGACAATCCCCCACAGCCAACTCATTACGGTCATCTTGCTGTGGCCAATGAACTTGTTGAAGATACTTCTGGGAAAGCTGGAAAAGATCATTTTGCTGCAGCCAACTTGCCATGGCTATTTCACCACAGGACGGCTCACCATGGCCACAGTGGACCAATTCACCATGGAAAATTCCATGTGTGATAACTGAACACAACAAATGTTACCTGCCACTGTTTCTTTGACATTATTCCCATTTTTGTCAATGAAAATAATGTCAAAGAAACAGTGGTGGTTAACATTTATTGCACTGAGTTATCCTGCATTTCTGTGGCAAGTTGTCCTGCAGCAAGATGTCCATGGCTCCGACCAAGTTGGCTGCGGCAAACTGACCTTTTCCAACTTTTCCAGAAGTATCCTCAACATGTTGGTTGGGATTTTCCCCTGTGCTTATTGGCTGTACTGGTTGGCTAATATGTTTGAAGGTACCAAATTGGGAAATAACTGATGCGCTGATGGTTGTTATTTCCTATTGTTAGTCTATATTGTACCAGGGTTCTCCAAAGTAGTCAGTATTGACCCTCAACTGTCCATGGGATTATTCACTGTTGTTGTTATTCATAGTAGCATTAATTAAAGTAATATTTATTAAATTATTTTCATCTAATGAATGTTTGGGGGTCAATGAACAATCTGAAACTTCATGAAGGGGTCAATGAGATGAGCATTTTGGGGTCCCCTGGTATATGTATTTACTGGTATATTGCCTCCCTAATCTTGCCCCAAGGCTTTATAATGCCGTACTGCCATCAGCTAGGCTAGCCTACAAAATTATTCCTAGGGAACTGAGATATTGTTCCTCTTCTTTCAGCCTTTGGGAATGCCAAAACCATCCGCAATGACAACTCCTCCCGATTTGTAAGTACTAGATGGAGAATTACTACCGTACTGAGTGAATCTAGCACAACTTCTAATATTTCTTAGAAGATATGTGTTATAGATCTAGTCTTGGGAGCAAGTCCAGATTTACAATCCTTTCAAATCCTGGGTCCTGCATCACAATTATGCAACTCAAGTGCTGCACAAAGAAAAATGGGATGATTCGGCCTGCATAAATGATAAGGGTCAATTAAACATCCTGCATAATTTATTCTGCTTTTGCTCATCATAGAGGCAAGTAGATTTATAAAGCCTTTTCTTTTTACTTTTAGAAATGGTGGAAGTGGTTTTTTATTCTCTCTTTTTTTCTCTGTCTCACACATAAACTTACTTGGACTTTTTCGGGTATACAATTCCATTTTTGCTGTTTTGATGGCTAAATGTTTTTTAAAGGATTAGAATTATCAGGATATGGAATTGTGACTCAATTCTATAATTAAATCACACTTAACATTTACCCTGACTTCATAAGAGCAGAGTGAATGATGTAAGCACTTCCTGGAATCTACTAAAATAGTTATTGTGTAGAGCAACATTTCATTGTTGTGTTTTACAGCCAGTTCCCCATAGAAAACACTAGCTGGATACCCGTGCTTTGCAACAAAACTTTGTGATTGGGCTATGCAGGAGAAATTCAGTTCACAATCCATTGGCTCAGTCAGTGGTGGTTGGTGATTGAAACGCATAAGGGAATATTGCTCCCACCGCCTTGAGTTTGGAAGCAGTTCCATAGGTGAAAGGCGTAGACATTTTGGTGAGGTACCGACATTTAGTACTGTAAGAAGCCTCAGACTGCTCCTGAGTGAAGGAATGGAACATCTGCCAATTTGAACTGAGGTAACGGAATGTGAGGCAACTGGCAAATTGAACAGAATTCTTTTCAGGTGGGGAGGGGGATCAGAACTCCTTAGCATCAGAGCATGTTAATTAATGTATAAGAAATACTAATGATCTGATGGTCATTTCGAAAAATCCTTTCATTGCGAGCACCTAGAAGCCAAGAGGAACATATGTGGCAAATTTTAAGTTTGTAGGCTTTACGATTCTGGAGATTTTGTGATGAGTGAGTGGTACTTGGCTTTTATATATATAGATAAGAATGAAATTGTCCCGTGAAATGGTTGTTACAGAAGAAAAACAACAACACATAGTTTAAATGCAGTTCTAAATGGACATGTTGTAGCTCATGAGAGTGCGTTAACAATGAAAATGCATTAACAACATCTTTCACATTGTAGTAATGAGGCTTTAGAGAAGAGAAGGAAAGGAGAATTATCTTAAGTCCCTCTCATGCCAATTCTCTCATCTAGATCCCATACATAACTTTTAAGTGTGCACTGCAGAATGTATACATATCATATTTCATTTGAGCCTTAGTTACTGCCTTCAAACAATTTCCAGAAGAGTAAATATGTCAAACCAGTGCAACGAAACCAACAAACAGTTTTGTGACCCCTCAAAAACTACTCCATATAGAGCTTTAAAATACGAAATTCTTCTTTCGGTCAAGATCAACTCCTGATGAGTTCTTGGACACAACCAGGCAACAACACAGAAATAGGCCTGTCTAATCTAGAGCTGTAGTTATCTCCCATGCAAGCAGAAGGTGTCTTGCCTTCCAACTTCAAACAAGATCATTCAGGTGCTGCCACCTGCTGAGGCATTTATTGTTCGCATCACAATAAGTAGATTAGAGTTTCAAATACTACCAGACTCCGTTGTTTTCAGAGAGTTAAGTTTCAAATCCACCCAGCTATATGTCTACACAATACCTTGGACTAGCCTAGCCCAAAGCAAAAGAAGAAGAAAAAAGAGCAGGGAAGCCATCACATTCATTAGGGATTCAAGGCTTCTCATTTGGGTCCAAATGTTCCTCCCTGTTTCTTTTTCTCTCCAGGGAAAATACATGGATATTGAGTTTGACTTCAAAGGCGATCCTCTGGGTGGTGTCATTAACAATTGTGAGTATGATCTTCTAGATACGATATGATCGTCCAAATACGACTTCAGCAACAGAGTGGTCAATCTCTGGAATACACTACCTCACTCTGTTGTTACATCCTCAAACCCCCAAAACTTTAACCTTAAACGGTCTACCGTGGACCTCACTCCATTCCTAAGAGGTCTTTAGGAGGCGTGCATAAACACACCAATGTGCCTACCATCCCTGTTCTAATGCCTGCATTGCAGTGGTCACATAGTAATAACAGCACGAATGAATTAAATAGGAAAGGGGGACACACTAGATAATGAACTTGAAAGCAAGCAACCTCAGAGAGCACCAAGGTCTGCTCATTTCAACCCTGAGCTTCAAATATTCTCCCTTATTGGAACTTGAGAGTGCCATGGTCTTCCTTGGCTAACAAAGGACATGTTCTAGCCATCCACAACAGCAGAGGAGCAATTTGGCCTTCAATTCTCCCAACCCCTGCCTATGTGTTTTCCTTTTTGTTTTTCATTCTTGTCCTGCATTTACTTACAGACCTGCTGGAGAAATCCCGAGTGGTGCATCATGTGAGGGGCGAGAGAAACTTCCACATCTTCTACCAACTCCTATCTGGAGGCTCAGACCAGTTGCTCAGTATGTTTTCACTCTTGACTTGGATGGGACTAGTCCCCTTACTCCCCCCCTTCAGGCACACACACACACACACACACACACACACACACACACACACACACACA